AATTCAAATAGGTTAACAAAACACTAATCAATAGTTATCTATATCAATTGATCTCTAGGACATTTATTGAGATACATTTTCAGCTATATCACCCAGCCCTGTATGTAACAGGTAAAAATAGCAGGATTTTGCAATCAAACTAACAGAAATGCGACTCAAAATAAGTGAGTAATTTAGTGATACCAGTTCTTTCCTCCTCAGTGAAACCCATGATGTCCATTGCCTCCATGGTCTCCTCGTATAACTCATCATCTTGCTGCCCAGCAATCTGAACATGGCCCGCACTCAGGAAGCGATAGTTACTGAAGGGTTCCAGCAGAAGGTCCTCTGATGATAGAATAAGAACAGTAGTCAAAAACAAACAACAACAAAAAAACAACTTTGAGGTATTATGGAGTTTACAAATGATATTGCCACCTTTGGCCAAAACACAGAACTGCAGTGGTCTTCTGCTAGTTCTCGTAGCTCGTGCTTATGTTTTTTTTCTTTATTTAACTTTTTTTTCTACTTTACGTAGAGTTGGCATTGTTTTCTGAGTTCTGACGCATGCTGGTTCTTATGAGTATCCATAAAATCCATGACATCAGCGCAAACATTGCAGGAACTTTCGACCTGAAGTAAATGCGGGAAATAAAATACAAACTTATAGATGAATCGGTGCCGAACTACTAAGGTGCCAGTCTGCTCATTAATCAACTTTATAGTTGGAAAGGGTAAAAAAAATAAGGCTATTTTAAAGATATTTTTCAGTTAAAACTTACATAATGTATCTTTAATTGAAAGCTCTTTCAAACCCCTCTTCTTTGCTCTGATGTTTTCAAACTATGCTTGTTTCCCCCCGTACTTGTATGACCATCTGTCCCCTTTTCAGTAATATTATATATATATTATACATGTTCTGACAATCATCTTACCTCTCAGTTTGTCTTTAGCTCCAGCAATCATGTAGTAGAAGATGTGAAAAGCTCTCTCCGTCTTTGCTTGTCGGATGCATCGGGACTTCTCCAGCAGATCTGAGAGCAGCCGCCAGTTAAGGAACACTCTGCAGCCAGCAAAAACTTTAGATCATTTTTTTTATGGTCAACATTATGCTTTTTATTTCAAAAAAACCTTTAGAGGCCTTTACAGAACAGCTTAATTTTCAAAAAGGTGGAGATTTTTTTACACATAAATTTTAGACAGTGAACAAAATATCATAAAATATAAAGTTTGTGGTTATAACAAACAAAAGAAGAAATATATATTTAAGGGATATGAATACATCTGTTAGACTCCGTCTCCCAGCTATCGTTGGGACAGTATTATGATGACACTGCAGGTGGACTTACTACCAGAATAGCCTGAACTGTAGGATTTACCATTTCAGAAACAATAAGGATACAAGTCTCAATGTTAGCTCCAACGATGTAGCCCGTCACATCAAAGTTTATGCGGATGAATTTTCCCTGAGAAGGAGAGCAGGTTGGTAAAAAAAAAAAAAAAAAGCAGGAATTTTTTTTAAAGAGAGAAAAAAAAACAGTAAATGAAACAGATTCTTGCACTTTAAACCTCAAACTCACAAATCGAGAGGAGTTGTCATTTTTGATGGTCTTGGCATTTCCAAAGGCCTCCAGGATCGGATTAGCCTGAAGGAGCTGCTTTTCCAGCTCGCCCTAATGAACAAAGTAATATACAAAAGAAATATTGCTTTTAAGCTGTAAAAGGTGGTGTTAAAAGGTATAAAGGTATTTTTTTTTTTTTACCACAATGATGTGGGTTAAAAGAAAGAAGAATGAATAAAATAAGCCCTAATAGATTTACAACAAATTATGCATTTTATAGTCAGAGTTAGATGGTGGCATAACTCCACAGAACCAAAATTATTCTAATGAGGTTTGGTAAAACCTAAATTCTTTCCAAAATATCTATTCTCGATATGTAATTTTCTTCCTGCAGACTGCAGAGAGGCTGAATGACCGTCCGTCTAACCGAGGACGACAGCTCATCACTTCGAATCCAGCTAATCCTCCTGATCAAAGAGGCTGTTTTTGTCTGCATCAAGGTTTGAGGTAGTAGATTTCTACATAAACTTTCTCACTTAAAAACACCCACAGTGTAAATGATCTAAAGTCTGGAGGAGAACAGGAGGAAAACAAAAGAACAGCAAAAAGAGCAGCTCTGAACCTTGTCAAATAGATGATTACTTGGTTAGTAATCAAAACATATTGTAAAAGAATAATGTGATTAAAACATCTACTTATATTTTAGAAGAGATTACATCGTCACATTATCCTTCTAAACATGGACTTATCATATTTCAAATACATTTCAGATTTACTTTTTTGCTTTTTGAGTAAAAAAAAAAATTGTTTCTACCAAATGAGGCAAAACAAAATACAGACCCACTGATGAGGGGCAGTTCAGAGTTCAGGATAACTGGAAAACAAAGGAAAGAAGACAGAGCACAGCAAGGTGGAAACATAAGGAAAATGATCTCATAAAAAGAAAATACAAACTTTTGAGAAGATAGATAAGCAGCAGACTTGGAGGAAAAAGGCCTGAAACTGGCAGATTGGAAAGAAACAAAAAAAGAGAAGGAAGAATACCCAGAAAATATTTATTCTAAACAACCAAGAGGGTGTTTCAGATCAGTAGTAAATAAATAAATAACCTTACCTTGAAAATGTCAAATAACCAAAAAAAAAATATATATAAATTGGGTTGGGAAATAAGTATAAAGAAATGATATTTTCTCCACAGTTAAACATCTAATTGGAATGTTATGGAAATGAAATGCAAGCCAGATATCAGTAAAAACCAAGAGACCCACACACAAATTATAAAAACCACTCCAGCTCATCAATTAAGCAATGTGTAATAAAACAAATGACTGAGAAATGGACACATAAAGAAAGTCTCAAAACATTACTTCTACCTACTAATACAATTTAACATATCTGGTTTAGTCCTAAAACATGAAGAGCCTGTAATGATAGGTACAACCAAGAGCTTCACAACCTAGTTACTGCAAAACCTACTAATAGAATTGCTAAAGCCATATTTCTAAATGTTAAAGTGAGAATTTCACTAGAACGTAGGCTCACACCAGATGGTCTGAGGAGTCAGTCTCAGAAAAGAAAACAGTGTAGGCGGGCACATTTCTTTACTCGTAAAACAACAGTATACTCTAATGTGGTGACAGACCTAGTACTGAAGAAAAAAAATTTAGCACAATATTTTGACCCAAAGGTGAAGCAGCAATCAGGTTAGGAGAGGGGAACATCATGGTTTGGGGCCATATTTTACTGTCAAAGGGAGGATAAATGGAAAAATCTGTCTCTGGAAATTCTTGATAAGAATCTCAAGACAATTGTTGATCCAGTTGGACAGAAATAACAAGAGAGAGGGCACAGATCCGTTCATGGAGGAAAACTACTTAGGAAGTCTTTCTTGAAGCACCCCTGTTCTGCATATTTTTCCGCATTATTAGAGCTGCAAAAATTATTACAGGCAGCTCATTTAAAGCAGATTGTAAGATGTTTTAGTTCCTATTTTGGAATTTGTCTTCCAAGCCTCAAAACAGCATGCTTACAGCTCTGTTGCCAAGAAACAGACAGTATCACATTAATTGATATGGAGGCTTGTGAGGTTGGGTCAGATCAAACCAGTTCAAATTCAGAGCAGAAACTAACCACACCAGAATCCATTTGGAATCGAGACAACTTGACAAAGTAGATCTCTGGTTGTTTGCTCTGGACCAGGGTTAGCTTGTGTGAATTTCCAAAGATACAAAAAGGTCCAGACCGAGAGTGATAAAGAACTCTGACAGGTTTAAAGCAGACCAAACATGGCAGGTGTGACTGTGACCATAGAAAAGATCTGAAGATCTGATTCAAAAGAAGAGGCTCCAAGGTCCTTCAAGTACTGAAGACATTTTTGAGTAAAAAACTGGTTAAAAATCGGACCTGAAAAACAAATGCACCTATCATCTTGATACCTGTATCAAGATGATGCGTTTAACCCATCAGTACCTTTGAGCAAAGGTGTCCATATTTCTACCCTTTATCACTAAAAGTCAAAACGAATCGGTCCAGAATCTGATTATTCATAGCATATGTGGATTACTTTATCTGTTAGAGAATTCTTGAGAAACTGTGACATAAACAGCCACGTGTAAAAGGTCTCTACTTTTTCTGCTTAAATAACTTAAATTTACTATTTGTTTCCACATGTTTGTTGTCTTTTTTTGACTACATGTTATACATAAGCACTGTAAGGAAGCAGCAAATCTAAAAAGAGATAAAAAAAACAACAACCCTGCAACAGAAGAGGAATCTGTGCACCCCTCCTGTGCACCTGACAGGTAAGGTTATGAATGTATGAGTCAAAGGAAGGTCAGCTTTGGACAGACAAACAACAGGAGATGGGCATGCTCACACTGTGCTCGATGATCTGTGAGAGAACCTTTCCCTGCCACAGAGAGCTTGGTTTTATCTCCAGTGGCAGTGAAAGGATGTACGAAGCTGCCAGTCTGGTCACAAGGTAGAAAAAGGGGCACGTCCATCACTGTGTATCATACCTCTACTGATCATTATGCTTTCTGAACAAGCTAGTCGCCAGAGTAAAAAGGTGCAGTTGGACTTAAAATGCAAGGACTAATTTGTCCATGATTTTCAGGAAGCTGTGCCAACATTTCATTCCAGCGAGGAGCCTGTTCAGAGAAATCAGCTTTAACTAGTGATGAATGCTGAGAGAAACACAGTCTAACTTAAGACAATTGGACACCCTGGATGTAGATGAAGTCCTTCTTGGGCAACTTGGTGACACTAACTCCATGCACTTTTAACTAAACACACAAATGGCACACGAAAAAAAATAAACACACACTCCAGGCATTCCCCTTTTACTCACGTAGGCAAACTGTGATCCTGATTGCTGCTATTTAAAGGAAATATACAGAATTAAACGGGGCAGATTTTTGCTTAAGAGCAAGGGAACTGGCTGACAGATCCTAACATGAGGTTTTCACACAGATACCTACAGCACTGCTGTCCTTCTTGCCCTTGTGAGACGAGGCCACAACAGCCAGATACTGGATGACCTTCTTTGTGTTCTCCGTTTTCCCAGCGCCAGATTCTCCACTGAGGAGAAGGAGAAAGAAGGAAAGGTTGAAGTGATTCAGAGAGGAAGAGAGAGAGAAAGAGAGCAACATGAAGCTAAACAGCACTGACAGGACTTCTGTTCACAGTTCAACAGCGCAGTTTAATTGATGAAATCATGTGCTGTAGAGATAACTTCAACACCTGACCTAAAGTAAAATCACACTTGCTGTTATGTAATATCATCCTTTTAATAATGCTGAATTTTTTTAAATCTGAAAACTCCACTGGCCTTGGACTTCCCCCTCCCAGTTATTTCAGTCCCTTGATTTAATGTTAAAACAGAGAGCTGGAGGTAAATGTGCAGACGTTTAGTTTAATTATTATGGGGATTGTGCCTATAAAGTGTAATGCTTTTAATCATCACATAGATTTAATGATTTTTAAGACAAAATCAGGTGTTTGGATCTTTTCAGGGTTTTCTCTGGTCCATACAGGATCAAATGTTTGCATGCACACCCGCTTACATCTTATTCCAACAGGCTAATTGCAGCCTTATATTTACACTCTTCTGGGTTTCAATTCATCCAGCTGCATGGGAAAGAGTAGGGAGTTTCTATAAGCATGCCAGACTTTGTGAAAAGACAGAAGAATCAGTAACAAAGCTATTAAACCTCTTATGAGTCTATGGGGAGGCTGTCAGATCCCTCAAACCTATGTTTTGGGCCACTGCACCATTTAAAGTAATTCAAATACTTTTACAAAGCAACACAGACAAATTCTTTCCCTCCAGACAACAAACTTGGATATATGACTCAAGCTGATTGATCCCAGAGCCATCGGACAGAGCAGACGTACAAGCTTGGTCAGGTGTCCTTAAAAGGCATGGGAAGCTCTGAGTGTTAGATTCCTCTTTGAGCTGCCAAATCCTAGCGGTGCTGTCATGTTTAGGCTGAGTAAGGACATACAACCTCCAGACTGAGGCTGCAGACGGATGTGAACACAAATTAAAATGCCCCAAAGATTTTCCTCCTGGTCATCAACCGTTCTGCCCATCTAGCTTGATTTCCACTACAACTTTATGATTTTCAATATATTCAAACTCAAAGTCTGCCTGCTTTGATTACTTCATTTCCATCAGGCCTTCTGAGGGACAAAAAGAGGCTGACCTGCAGCATCCAGAACGGAGGGTGGGATGGAGTCCAAGAGCGGTATAAACAGCTAATTAATGCGCAACATGCTCATGAAATCAGGAGCATTTTAGTAAATATTTAAAGCAGTTTGATGACAATATCTATGCAGTTTGAAAATGCATATTTTTGTTAAAAATAAAGTTTAGCAGGAATGAAACATCTGAATGAAATAACTCTGGATGTTTGATCCCACTACAAGTTCTGATATCTCCTAACAAATGCTAAAATACAAAACATTTTATAAAAAACAAAAACAAATCCTATGTTATATATTTCTACTTAATATGTCAGAATTCTGACAAGAACTTATTAAATTATCCAGGAGGAGATCTAAAAAAAAAAAGCCAAAAAAACAGTGAAACTCATTCTGGCCTTTATGAGATTTCAGTCAGAGGTCCGATGAGTCTAAGAAACCACAATGATTAAATTAACATAATTTTTTTAGAGAGGGCATGTCTTAACAGCTATATCAGTTTTCTCTATCAATATTTCTTACAAAACCTTTTTAATTCACACTTCATCAAAAATGTCCCTCATTAGCATCAAACAGCTTTGCTCCTCAGCTACTACCGTAGATCTATCCAAACTGTTCTAGCTTCCCTCTGATAAGGAAGCCTAATCGTTGAGGAAATAGTTTGATGGAAACCATTTGCTGCATCCTGGTTGCTGTAAATTAAGAGTTCAAATGGGGAAAGCCTTTTCTCAGCTGATTCAGTTCAACTATTCAGAGACGTTTTTGTCTTGATAAATAAAATGATGCAATCAGATCAGAGGTTAATTTAAAGAGAGAAAAACTAGATGTGCAGAAATACTGAAATAATCTGTTTATTTCATTATTCCAGCTCCTTTTTCTTGTCTTACTTAAATGTAACATACCTGTAATGAAAATGGACAAATATTAGATAGGGCGTTCAGTTTTAATAAGTAATGGAATGATAAACCCTTCTAGTCAACTTCAGTCTAAATTGTATAAACCAAACAAGGTTCAGAAAAATCCAACAATCTAATAAAGCCAATGTGTCAGGCTACCCCTGGATGTCCCAGCATCAAGTCAAAATCCTCAATAATTCTTTCCGCACAAATAAACAAGGCTGAGTCAAAACATTTTGAGAGCTAATCTGGTTCTCCAATCAGAGTTAAGGACACACTTCCTGACTGAATCCCTTTGAGAAGAGCGAGGACACAGCTCTCCCAGAAAGTCTATTAGCTTAAATACTCAGGAAAAGAGGCATGGATTTCTTTCTTGGATAAGCTATAATATATATCAGAATTAGATCTGGCTTAAATCTGCATAACGCAACTATTCTGTGACATATGTCTGAGTAATAAATACAAAGTCACAGATCACACAGACAAGAGCATTAGAGAGAAATTTGGAGAAGGTCGATTCACTTACGTGCAGAGAATGGACTGATCCTCACGATCTGCAGGAAGAAAGAAAATAAACTTATGATGACTTATTCACAATTTTAAAGAATTAAATCCAAAATAATCTGCAAAAGAGCTTAAATCCAAAAAAAAAACCCTAATTGCTATGTGGGGTTTACAGACCAGCGGGGAGGGCAGCTTTTAATTCATTTCAGTTTATTTATATAGTAAATCAACGGAACTTATGATGCTGTGAGAAACTATTTGGGCATTTGTTGTTTTTGCTTTTTGTTCACACTTAATTGTTTCAGTTTTACTCAGTTTATGTACATAGAGCTTACTCACAATAAACATCACAAGGCATGTTACAAAAGTATAATAAGCTCATACAGAGGGACATACGCACCAAGGTAAACTTAGTCAATACAAATATTGTAGAAACAGAAAAACAGCCTATTTAAAATGAATCAATTAAAACATTTCACTCAGATTTAAAATCAAACTTTGACAAAACCCCTAATTTTTCTTTTGTTTGCAAAGAATCTTTTAAAGGGCTTTCAGAATACTAGAATGACTGATAATAAGGTCAGGATCAGAGGATGCGATATTCTTCCTCAGGACCTTCTGGTAGAGAGCAGAATGGATCAGCTTCAAGTCATTAACATCCTAAATCAGTAAAGCGGACCCAGATCATCATGTTACCACCACCGTGTCTATGATGTCTATATATCATGATGTTCCCTTTGTGAAATGTGTTCATTATAAACCAGATATAAAAAGTTCCACCATTGTCTCAGACAGTCAAATAGATATTTTTCTCATTGTTTTTAAGGTCTTTAACATGTTTTATAGGAAATGTAGGATTAGTCTGCATTCTTTTTGGCCAGCAGTGTTATTTCTTTTAATCCTTAAGTTCTTCCACAGAGGCCTGTTTTTGCTACTGTCTGTTTACTTTCAGTGAACGTTAAGCATAAATGAGGCGTGTGTGGCCTCTCGAGCTTCAGCTGACTTTGCGACCTCAGGAATGATTTCTAGATGCACTTTCATGAGTAATTCAATAGAACAGTCACTCCAGGGAACTTTCAGAAATGTTCCCTTTCTTTTACCGTTTTATTGTTTCTATACGTGATATCTGGCCTCGTTGGTGTGCTCGGAGAGAATCCATTTAATGTCATGGGATGTGTTGGTAAACAAACCTCGGCGTGGCTGTGACATCGAACTCAGCCTTCCATGAGCTATGGTAAAACGGTTATTTCCTTGTGTATCAAAATTGTGAATTTTATTTTTAGCTTTATTTGAACCTTTTTTTTTTCTATTATTACAGTATCAAAATATTTACAAACTATAAATTCATTTTAAGCCAAATCAAAAATTTTAAAACTCTGTTGAATCCATTAAAATCCAGTCCCATTTATGACACATTGCGGTTCGATTAGTGCACAGCACCAAATGAGATCAAAAAGAGATTAATGTATTGACCCAAAGATTAAGGAGGAACAGTACAAACCAAATATCTTGATTTTTAACAAACAAAATAACTTAATCTAAAAACAAATAATTGTTACAATCTTTGTAAAAAATGATCTTGTTAACACCTTAAGTCCGAGTAAGATGGAACAGTAACTGCATCCCTATCTTCCTGCCACTGTAGGGGAGGTTAAAGTAACTAGTATGAGTGATAGATATTTTGTTTTATTGTAAAAATTATTGATGTGATTTAGCTCCTTCAAACCCAGTTCTACGTCAAAAACTAAGAGCTTCTTTTCAGATGCGTCCCCAACACGTGATAATCTGCAGCCTTCGCTGAACTGTAAGCAAGAGCAGACATCGTTTCTCAGCGCTGACTCGACTTTGGCCACTTCCCTCCATTCCTCACATGCATTCACAAAACATACAGCTGTTTCCTTCTCTTAACTTCCTAATTAAGGCAGAGGCAGAGAGAACATGAGATGGCAAGATATGTGGGCTTTTGTACATTATCCAAAAACACCGCTCGCTTAGAACAAACCTAAAGGGGGGCAGCGAGGTTGCAGAAAAAGATTCCTACATCTGTAAATATATTGGGATCTCATAATAACATGGTGTTCTGCTGCAGTGGGACCACATTTCCCATGTGAGACTTTCACTTTTGCTGTCTTCAGAACATCAAAGACTTGAGAAAAATTTCAGAGGACTGGGATCTCAGCCAAGTGGGAGACAGACCATTCCAAAGGTTACAAGCGTTATTTGAATTTGCTGCAGTTAAGAATCATTTGGACTCCATCATCAGCAATGTTCCTGCTTAGACCATTCAGTGTGAAACCTCCTGCTCCATTAGTTAGAACTTCATGGGAAATACACCCAACGTGATTACCATATAAACTTGCACCACGCATACGCATTTTATAGGTGGCAAGTCTTGATTTTAACCTTTACAAAATTTTACAAATAAAAAAGGTCAAAGCTTTGTAGCTTTGAGGTTGTTTTCTAATATTTTTAGACACCAAGTCTACACAAATCATGACAAACATTGATGGTTATCAAAAAGGAAAAACTATTTCTCTAAGGATTTTTTTTTAAATGGGAAGAAAAATAGATCCATACAATTAAGTCAGGTGCTTGTTAATATTCTTGAGTCAACATGTTTATTAAATAGGCACTATGGAGTTTTCTAATGATACTGCCTCCTGTGGCCAAAACAAAGAACTGCAGCACTCTTCTCATAGCTCTACCTCGTAATTGACAAGTTTTTTTTTTTTCTCCCCTTTTTTAAATTGGTGTTTAGTTGAGTTGGACGCCCGTCGCTTCTGAGGAGAGCAAACAGCTCTGGGTGGGATTCAGCTGTGAACTTGCACCTCAAAAACAACAACACACTTCTAAAGACGAGACTGTTCAGATTTTGGACAGAGAGGACAGACGGTTTGAAGAAGAGGGGTCAAGGAAGCCATCTTGGTGAAAAGAGAAAAGCCATCACCAAACACAGGGGGAGGATTGTGGTTTCAGCTTCCAAGCATGTACAATTCAGTCATGGAACTGCTTCCAAGAAGTTACATAAGCAATCCCATTATGATTTAAAAGACCAATCAGAGAGCCCGTGCACAACAAAAGCCTCCAACAATCTAGAAGAATATAGGGCGGCCATTTTATTTGCATCTGACTTGGAATGTGTGCAGGAGGATGGACCTCCATGCTGCTTAACTGAGCTTTAACCGAGTTTGCTCTGGTGCTAGCCAACAGAAATAACAATGACTCCTGCAGGTGTCGAAACTTGTGAAAGTCCAGCTACCTTCCAATTTAAGCCTGCTTTCAGTATCCAACTCCAATGTAAATCATCAGCTTAAATATTTTTAATGTCATCCCGTAAAAATTCAAAAAATATCCACTGGACTTGGTTTTCTAAGATTTGCAGTTGCATTTCACCGTGGACTGTTACTCTTAAGAAATGATACAGATTACAATGAAAACATTTTTGGAGCAGCTCTTCTTTAAAATATCCAATCCAAAGAGGCGGTCAAAAAGCCTAATACATGTAAACTTTTTATGCAATATTTTGTAGGCCTGAAAAAAATTTAGTCTGAAGCAAAAGCATTGCGTAAAACACTCCCGCGGCTTTAAGTGTGATTTTGTGTGATCGACTCAAAAACAGCTTTGAGCTGTAATGGTTCTTGTGCACAGGATAAGCTGAAGACATTTAAGCAAAACATCAGCATATATATTAGTCAATCCACCCCTTTTCTTGTTTACTTGAAAGCACATATTTGCAAACTGTAGCTATAGAGGTAAACACTGACATCCTGTGCACTGGTTTGCTTGAGGGAGTTTTGGATAAGCAGATACGGTTTCTCAAATTCCATATTAACAAAAAGAATCCCAATCTTTTACAATTCTTGCCCGGAACCATGATAATATTGGCAAACATTTGTACTTGTTCCACATGTCTAATCAAATTATGTATTCCAATACATAATTACATGATGGACATGTGGAGAAACTATATAAATCCAGACATTCTGTTCCTTAGAATAAAAATTTAGTCTGACCCAAATTTCTGGCAGATATTGGCGTATATATTTTTTTCTTTTATCAATTAATGTATGCTTGTGTTGGCCAAATCATTAATGCATTTAGCAGCCATACATTGAGATCACATAAGGGGCATACACATTGATTAATAAGTAAATGTTTCTTTTTGTTTTGAGACTTGTGTAACATTTCTTATTGTGTCAGAAGAGAAAGCAATATCTGCTTAAGGAATTGGCTTCAGCACTTGTGATGTTCAGTAGATGTAATATTTTGAATATATATTTGTTTTTAATCACTAATTAAAAAAAAGAAAACAAAAAAAGGTTTTAGCTATAAATTCTAAAATGTGACAGCAGAAACCCCACCCAAAAAACATATGTACGGTATGATCTTAGGTGCATACATTTTGCACGTTCCATTAATACAGAATATTAGCTTTTGGCCTTTGTTTGCTAAAGGTAATTTACCCCATGGCTTATATAGTCAATTGCTCTGCTGAATAATCATTCAACTCATACACTTTAATATTAATTGGCTCTGAATTTACACAGAACATAACTTTGGACACTTCAAAAAAAGCAGGTAAAATTAAGGAAATTTTCCCAAATACTCATGTCTTGAAGATTCTCACTTCCATTTTGGAGGACATTTCCTGCAGTAGAAATAAAAATAAAACCTCCGGGATTAACATGGAACAAAAGAGGGGGGAACAAAAAAAAAGTCAAGCTGAACAAGGAAGAGAGGTATCTCAAAAAGGAAATGCTTAATGCCCCCCACCCATCTTTTGATCCAGATGTCAACTCCTTTGAGAAAATGTCCTCATGTCAACATCAAATCAAGTAGCATAAACCCCACTGGAAACAGATTCTCTGGGAAATGAGCTGTCGTGAAGCTAAGAGCCATTTACTGTAAGCACGATTCTGCCAAGGCCACAGTCATCACCTCTTTGACAGCAGCTGAAAAAGGCAATCATATTACTATTCTAGAGAAAGTCAGATCCCTCTGACAAGTCCATGGTGATTTTGAACATCAGCAGGCAAAACTAAAGCTAAATTCTAATCCCAAACAGGAGGTCAAAAACCCCAGCTTATTTGTACTGAAACTACAAAACTAGCAGAAAATTCTATAAGTTTGAATAGTTAATAGTTTTACCTACATTATTATCCACTGACCGCATCAAGCAACTACAGAGGAAAATCAAAAGAGCGAATCAAAAGCAAAACAGCCAATCAGATCCTCAACTCACTGAAGTAGTTTAAAAGTAGAGACAGAAGGTGAACCAACCGGAGGAGAAATCCTACCTTGCATCATGTTTCTGTAGGCATTATCAGCTATAGCATAGATATGAGGGGGGACTTCATGTCGTTTCTTCCCTTTGTACATGTCAATGATCTTCTCAGAGTAAATGGGCAGCATTTTATAGGGGTTCACCACCACACAGAACAGGCCAGAGTATGTCTGTCAGGAGAAAGAAACATTTTGAAAACATGTCTATGTTTTGACTTTTAGCTGCCAGGGTAATGATTAGTGAGAAAATACATTTAGTGAAAAAATATAGTTATGTGAGATTTTAGAATCTACTTAATTCAGGGCAAGGTTTGGATATGTATGATCAATAATATTTCTGCATGCTTTGCAGAAGCATACTTACATAAATGAGCCCAGAGAAGTACCTCTCACGTAGATTGTGCAACACAGAGGCTTCGTTAAGGCAAGTAAGCTCTGCCATGTCCTCCACCTTGCTGAACTTGGGAGGGTTCATCTTCTGGATGTCGTCCTTGTTAACAGTTATTTTCTTGCCGTTATCAGCCAGCTCCACCAGCACCTCGTCCCCATGCTCCTCCTTGATGCTCGCTGCCTCAAAGCCATGCTTCTCTGAGGGGATCCACACCAACTTCTTGGCTGACCAGTCGGCCTGAGCCATAGGGCTGTTGAAGAGGTCCTTATCGACAAAGAGGAACTTTTCGTCCTCTGACGGGGCCGTCTTGGACATCTTGGCTAATGGTGGAGGGCCAGCTGGTGAAAAGAATTAGGGAAGGGGATGTTTAGAAAGAGAGATGGCAACAGTCATGCAACAGTTAATGTTAAGGAAAACAAGGGATTGCTATTGAAATTTTGTGTAATAGATCCCTGTGTAATCTGGATTTATATTCAAGGCAAATTAATCTCATACTTCAATATAATCCAGCGCAACGCTTCAATGACAACTGCTGCAACACAACAAAGTCTAAAATCCATTTAAACCGAGCAGAGAATTAATCAGAGAAACTTCTGGAGCAGCAGAGACTCACAGCTAGATTGACAGAGGAACCTCTAGTTGAGTATTTTTCAGGGGTGAAACTCCTGTCCTTGAGGCCAGAGTCCTGCAACTTTTACCTGTGTCTCTGCTTAACAACACCTTGATGATATAATGTGTCAATAATAAGACTTTCCCCCCAATATGGCTCCAAAAGGACAATTCTTCCATTTGGTTCAGGAGTTAAGGCTCAAGTTGGAAAACTATAGGACATCAGCCCTTGAAGGCTGGAATTTGAAATCCTTGCTGTGAAGAGAGCCTTAAGAGAGCCTCCCTTACAAACCACGGTAGGGAGGACGGTAAGTATGTGAAATAATGTGCTCTGCTCATATAAGACCAACATTTAACTTTTTTTTAGTCATTATTTTGATGACCATTCTGTGGAAATAAGTTTCTTTGACAGGGAACAGGGAAGCTGGGGAGAGTTGATGACTGATAAAGTTACATATAGAGTAAGTCTGAAAAACAATATATTAAAGCTATGAGACTGGGCTGGAGGGTCGCCTTCCAGCAAGTTAACGACCCTGAGCATTACAGCCATAGTTAAAATAGAGAGCTTGGGACCAAACTAATTAAAGCGAATGCTCTCCATCCTGTCTGTCTCACCAAGAAGTGTTATTATTATTTTTTTGTGTGCAAACAAATGAATTCCTAATGCAATTGCAGCAATAGATAGTACAAAGTATTAAATACAAATGCAAATCCCTTTTCAGATCAATATTTGTAAAATGAAAAACATGTCATGTGCAAAATGTGAGAAATATAATAAATATGAATACATTTCCAAATCCCTGTAAGCTAGTAAAACTGCCTTATTTAAAACGTCCTCTCCCCATTAGGGAGTTGTAGAAGGCAGCCATTCTCACAGACCTCCATCTCCCTCTCGACCCCACACGTCACACGGGAAACGAACAAACAATTCCCCTTCTCAGCTGCAGACATAAGGACTGAGGCTGGGAAATGTATTTTCATTAACTTCACAACACTGTGTCAACAGCTTTATAAATGAACAACAATCCAATGAACTCATACTAAGTGATGGGTTATTCTCCTGAAACATTAAGTCCCTGTTAAATTTAAGAACCTGCATTTTTTTCCCCCTGTCCCTCCATATCTCTCCCTCAGTCTCCTGCTTAGGGAAGCTGCAGTCTCGTGCTGAGATGACCATATAAGGCCCCCTTCTCTGATGCAGGGCTCTTTTCTGTGGACCTAAACAGCAAGGCAAGTGAACTCCCAAACAAAGCCCATATAGGGAATAGTATGTCTCTTGCCGGCTTTGTCGTTTACTGCAAAATGATAACAGCAAGGCAGCGAGGCAGAGGGGATTTTAACAGCCATGCTTAACATGGGGCCCCGTTGGAATTCATTTCTAAAGTGAAACAGTCACTGGCTAAATTATGAACAAGTGTCTGGCTTTTAGAGGAACCTGCAGAGGAAGGAAATGTACAACAAACTAGAGTAGCTGCATCACATCGACTGCTCTGCTTGGAATGCAAAAGTCTTACTTAAAAGCGAAGGCATACAGGTGTCTACTGTGACAGTTGAGCAAGGAGGAGCTTCTTGCTGGCTTGGACTAAAGTAGCTTGTCTAACTAAAGATGGTATCCGATGTTACCTTTCACACAACCTGTAGACAAAAACTAACACTACCATCGCCACTGTGTAACATGGCAGCATAATGCAGTTAGCACGTAATAAAGTTGATGGGGAAAACGGATAGAGCTTCATGCAGGACAGTCCTGGGGTAAAACCTGTTAGAGGCGTAAAGAGACGTAGAAATAGAACAGGTGGAAGCACTGAACTGGTAAATAGTTCTCCAAAAGTATTTATTTAAGTATTTTAATGTTTAAATCTTGTTATCGCTCCACAATGTCAGTGATTCTTGATCTTTTGTTCCATCATGTTTCCATCCCTGAAGCTGAACGAATCAACATGATATGGGCATAAAAACGACCTGGAGGCTTTTTAACAGCCTTTTACAGCCATCAAATTCTAGTTTATATAAATCAAAACATGATGACAACAATGTTTTAGAGAAAGCTTCCTCTCAAACTTGCAACTTTCAATTACCAAGGCCTTAACATGCAAACATAGGTATTTCTTTTTAAATCCCTGGGCAAACCAATGATTAAAGTGATTGTTTATTAAATAGTTTGCCAAAAAGCTCACCAAATCATATTTCTATATTAATTAAATGAACTTTACAATGTGAATTTACCAGATTAACTAGGGTCAACTGTAAATGTAATTCATTGGGTAACTTCTTATCCGTTTTGTTCACCAAGACTTGAACAAACTAAGTGGGAACTGAGCAATAAAACAGCCCCTTGCTGTTCTATGATGACGTATTAACACTTTCCTGGGATTAAAATAAGCTAACCAACAGAACAAAAAAAAAAAAAGCAAAAAATCCTCTATCAACCTGTCAAGCCTGTGAAAGAGTTTGAATGGGTTGGGGGGTGATGGGGAAATCAGCTGATACTTTGATGGTCTGCAGATAAAAGTAAACAGTCTTTCCTGCCCCACCCCCGTGTTTAAAGGATGTTTTTGAAATTAAGATGTTCTTCCTCGTGCTCTTTAAGCTTTCCTCTTACGTAATTTATTTTAATACCTCGGTCAAGCCGTTGTTCATTCAGGGTGTTGGGTCAACACTGTTTCTGCACCTTCAGCACAGCCATCATAAGTGATTCTGACAGGTGAATACCAAACCAACTAAAAACACGAGACAAAAAGAACTACCGGTATACTTTGTCATGAAAATTTTTACAGCTGAATAAATAGGTGAGCAAATGAAATCATTCTAATCTTATAACTAATGTGCACTACATTGCCAGAAGAATTTGTCTTCCTACTTTGAAACATACATGAACTTTGATGAGATCCTGTTCATAATCTACAGGGCTGTTCTCACATTACTAACTTTAACTGTTCAGTAAACCTCTTCTTTAAGGGTTACAGGTGAGTCTGTTAATAAAAAGAGGAGAAAATCAGAATAGCAGCATCTGATCCAATTTACGCCAAAGGTGTTCCATAGAGTTGAGGAGGCCACACAAAATCATAAACACATGAAGCCATGACGTCATTTCAAATGTAAACTAATTAATTTTTTGATGTGACCCAATACTTTTAGTAATACTGTGTAAAATCCTCAGTATTCAGTATAAAGACAATAAAGTTATTTATGAATCTGGCCCGATTATTTGTCTTGCTATACAATTCCCAACTGTGCAAACTAATTTGAATCAAACATGCAATAGAAATATTCCTGTGTAAATAATGATAATAAACTATTGAAGATGCTGCCCTGGAGACTTTATGACCTTAATATTTCTGGTTGGGGGAATTTGACCTTAGGGGTCAAGAAATGATGTTTCTCATTTCCTATCATAAAAAGTTCACAAACATTCTGTTATTATTAAACAAATAAACCCTTAAGCTTAATGGATTGCCAGGATAAATATAGGATCACAAGATTAAATGTTATGGAATCAGGCATATAGTCTACCGGTAAACACTTTACAGAATTTTTTTTAATGCTTATTAAATTGTGAGACAGTATAGTTACTACTGCTAAGGCCAAACATTATATCCCCTTTGGAGAAAACAACTTCCTTACTGATAGAAAGAAAGTAGAAATTCAATACAAAGGAAACATAAAACTGATGTTTCTACAATTTTCTTTAATAAAATTCTCTCATTACCTCATTTTAGGTTATACAGATAAAAAAAGGACAAAAAAACAAACAAACAAACAAAAAAAGACAGGTTTATGCAAAACTGAGTCAGTGGTATGAGTCTTTCTGGTTTTCCTTTACATTCTGCATCTCAGCTTCAAAGTTAAACATCCTCGTCAAACAAGCAACTTAATAGGACCATATTAGGAAATTAGAAACGCCATTTGTGGTGAGAGTCCTGCTTTCACTGAGATATTGATTGAACTTCCTTTTTAAATACACTTCTTTCAGGCCAGATAATACTTTATCATTAGGAAGAAGTGAAATAAAAAGAAAGGCAGCTGTGCACAAATTAAGAAGCACTATATAAGCTGGCCCGAAAATAATGTTAATCAACTACCCACAATAACTAACATGTTTAACGTCATATTTTGTCTTCAGTTGACTTACAAACGTTTTTCTTTCACAATTAAATAGGCTAATTAAATCTAACCTGATGCATGCGAAGCAAAAAAAGTCGCAATGAAATAAAATTAAATACTTGAGTTGTTAGTGTCGGACAGGTGCGCTTCATTCGTTCACCGTGGTATCCCTCCGCTGTTAGTTAAATACTCACATAACGGGAAAGAAGTTCGGATTTGGAAAGAGCTGGAGTCTGGAGAAGATGGGCGTCGACGAGGTACTCCCAAAGCAAACAGTCCAAATGACCCCCGTCAATTTAAAAACCTTACCATTTAAACCGTTCCTCCCTCCTCCTCTCCTCCTTCTCCTCCTTTCCTGCATGGGCGGTTCCAGACAGGGACCAAGGGGGGCCAGTGCCCCTGTATATCATGTCCTGGCCCCTCTACTAAAGACATAATACTCAAAGAAATTCTAATGATGATCTAATGATATATCATTGTGATTTGTATGCAAAAGCTGATTGGCCTCCTTTAAGAGTTCGGAGAAACAATCATTTGATGATCCTAATATATAAATCTCTCCTTGGACTAACAACAACATGCTTAAACTCTCTTTTGCATAGACTGGTAGTTCTAGTAAATAAAATTTTTTACACTCCCATTTCTTTATTCTTCTACATGTTCCTTGTGTTCGAACTGATAAAGGAAAGAAAGCGTTCAGTGTGTTTGCTCCTACAGCGTGGAATCAGCTCCAGTCTGAGCTCAAGATGTCAGACACTATTTCATTGGACTTATTTTGAGCGGTTCTTAAAGATAGACAACAAGTTTCTATGAAAAAGAGTCACTGCTTTTAAATTGTTTTATTGTTTTATATTTGAATTTATCAGTTTTTTCTTGAATTCTAATTCAGATTTTATAGAAAACACTAAATCTAACTGAAATTAAGTAAAAAATAAGTAAAATTCCTAAATTCTGAATGTATATTGACCTAAAAGCACATAGAATTTTAATTAAACCTAATTGAAATTTCACTTCATGCAGCTATATTAATATATTTGAATCCTTTGCCCTGTTTTTTATTTCATGCTTTTCTGTTCAACACCACGAAAGCACGCTGGCCCCCTCCTGGCCCCCTGGTACATTTGGTGTAGAACTGCCACTGCTCTCCTCCTCACCTCCTTCTCAAGCAGCCAAAGGAAAAGAGCAGTGGACATGCACAGCTGGTGCTGATAATGAAGAAATAAAGTCACTTTAAAGTTATTTGCATCGTTATAGGCTAAAATAGATTAACCTAGCAGTGTTGTTCTATTACAGAGTTTAATTTAGTTCAGTATTTAGGTACTATGGAAGCACTATGAAAGCACCATGGAAACAAAACTGGCATCTCATAACCATGATTTAGCTATCATAATTAGATATTATAATTATCAGCCAGCTAAGTCACAATAATGAGATAGCTTAATCATAATAATGAGATAGTTTCAACATAATTATGATATACTATCTTGACTTAGCCCCAAATAATGTGATAGCTAAATCATAATAATGAAATTAATAAGTTAAATCATAATAATCACATAATATCTAATAATTATGAGATACTATCTTGGCTTATCATAATAAAAATAGTTCCAGTCATCATCCTTCTCCCGCTTTTTCCGTCAGGGTCGCGGTGGGACCAGTGCCTATCTCAGTCTATGGATGTAAGACGCAATAGACTGTGCTGCTTGTCTATTTATCGCAGGGCATCACAGAGTCACAACCATGCACATGCACCTAAGGGTAATTTAGAGAGGCAAATTGACCTAAAAGTCATGTTTTCAGACTTTAGAAGGAAGTTGGAGTACCCGGAGAGAACCCACGCATGCACAGGGAGAACATACAAACTCCAGACCCTGGGCCATGGTTGCTGCAAGGCAACAGTGCTACAAACTGTGCCACTGTGCAGCCTAGCCCCAATACAATCAAGAGAAAAGACTTTATTTTGTCATTTTGTATACACAAGTGTAAACAAAAATAAATTTAGTTAAGAACAGCTCTCTAGACTAGCGCTGGGATGAAATGTCTTTAATGGAGGGTAGAGGAGCCCAGGTGATCCTCTCTGCAGTTCTCACCACTCTTCTCACCTTCTTTCAGTCTGAGGCGCTACAGCCTCCACACCACACAGTGAGCCCGCTGGTCAGAACGCTCTCTAAAGAAAAAGTAAAAGTAAGATTATACATATACAATAAAAATGATCCTTAGACCATATTCCCAAAATTATTTATCACCTAAAGTGTATTGAGAAAATGTGTTTGATGTTGTTTATTGTATCTATTAAAGTTTATAAACACATGACATAATCCTTCATAATATCTGTTGCCTATATTTCACTTTTCATTGCAGTTTTTCTGGTAGGCTGTTGCCCATTTGAAGCAGTCATTTTCACTCCATGAAGTTTTTCCATCTATGACAGGGTAATACAAATAAAGAGAGAACAAAAAAAACAGGAATCTTTGGGGGATACCGAATTTACACTAATGCCTTTCTGCAAAGCAACATTGCTGACAGTTTCCCCACACTATAACCAAAAACACAATAATAATTATTTGTTTTAGCAAACAGTGGCCTGAGTAGTGTGTGGAAGAACCACACACAATCATAACTGTTTGGCTCCTCCTCTTCGTACTGACCTCTATAGCATAGATAAAAGCTGAAGCTGAATGCTGTTTCATTCTTCAATTAATACATTTTGCAAGATTGTGACTGTTTGATCCTTCCTGCAGGACAAGCCTGCCGCCGTGTTAAAATGTGTTTATGCAGGACTGCAAAGAGCTTGTTCCATCCTCTCTACTCTCAAAGTTGTTAAGTAATCTCTGATAAGCCCTCACTCTCAGGGGGTTGTAGTTCGGTGCCAAAGCCTAGAAATATGGGACCTGCACTGCTCTCATCACGATGTCTCTCTGCATTTGCTTTGGCCCTGACAATCATAATCTTTATTTTTATTCTTGAGAATAACAGCACAGGCCTTCCAAAAGTATCAAATGAATTTTCAAGAAACATTGCTACAGAAAATCACATTTCTGTGCAAGACATACAAAGTCTTTCATTTTGATACATTTAGCCTCACACTCTGCATGGTTCAGCCAGAGGTCTCTTTCTGTTAAATCATACCTTTCCACTGTTATTACTCAGGAGGAGGGATTGTTGCCAAATCACTCTCCAAATGCAAATGTCTGTATACCAAAAGATGTATATAAACACTTTAAACTGTTTGGCATCATGAAGGGACTTTAACTGCATGGTGTTAAAACTAGGATCTAATTAAAACATATCCAGTTTAATCTGATTTTATGGTTATAATGTAATGGAGACATTGCTCCATTACAATTGTTATTTTACAAAGTGCCTCAAGTTGATCAATGTTAATTGGGGCATAGTAAATTATCTGTACTGAATTGAATTTCATTGACATTAAGCCACTTTACCAATTACGGTAATTTATTTGCATCGATTAAAACATTTTGAGAAATGTCTGTTCAAATTCTTAGTTGACTGGGTCAACCTAAACATGGAAACCACATTTTGAGAAGTATGTGTTTAAGTAGAACTTTTAACAAATATCAAGATTATTTTGGGAAACAACAAAAAAAAGGTTACATGTTTTTGTGGTCAATATAAGAACTCCAGGGTGTCTTTTTCATACAGTAATAAAGCAAACTCACTCATTGACTTCAACTTTTAAAGTACAAAAAAAGGAGGTGTTTTTGTTTTGTTATTTTCAACTGTGGTGTTGTGTATTCCTCTGACAGTTGTAAAATCAAATGTGTCAGGGTTTGTTTGTGGATTGAGGACCCAAGCGGGGGCAGGCAGGCAGAGGGGAATTTTTAGTTGATTTAATGAAGAGTATTGAAAAACAGTCCAAACAAGCAGGCAACCAAGAATCCAATATCCAAAAAATGAAAACAAAGTCAAAAAAACAAGCCAGAAACCATGGAGTCATCAGGGGAAATAGAATAACCAGGAGGAAGGCTCAGAGAGACAAGTTGGAGGAAGATTGACGAAGTAAGACGAGGACCCAGCAAAGAGGAACTGAAAAGAGAGGGCTTTTAAAGGAGACTAAGACAAAGAGAGGGCTACTGTAATGAGAAAATTGGGAACAGGTGAGGACAGAGCAGAAACAAAAATATGAGCTATGGGGAAAGGAGAACACAAGAGGGCAGCAGAGGGCAACAAATGAAAAAACCTGGAAGCAGTGATGAGAGTAATGGCGTTACCTTGTTTTAGTAACGAGTAATCTAACTAATTACTTTGACTGAAACTATAACGCAGTTACCATTGCAGACACCCCGTTAGGTCGCACAATGAACCTTTTTTTCATGATAGGAATCGTGCGCGCCTTGTCATGAGAGAGGGGAGGATGAGATTGGCTGATGTATAGTGAGATTCC